TGTGAGTAGTTGGACCATGTAAACAGCAAGGCCTATATTTATCACGAGATTTGTGGTACATTGTACGTAAATACAACTGTTCTTTAAACGCATCGAAAGCCAGGTATTACAAAAAAAGTGGATTCGTTGAGTGGAAAGCAACTTTTCAAGTTTGTCGATGAATTGTTCAGCATAAATTGTGCTCCAACTTTACTAAAACTTGACTCCCGCGGAACACTTTCCGAAAGTTTTGTGGAGTTTTTCGAATCCATAAAATTATCAACTTGAGGCACGATCTCTATGAGCAACCTGTTCCAAGACTTAACGTTGATTTCGCGGCCGAGCCATGCCGGAGCTCTTTTACAGGCTTCAAGCATATTTCCGATGGTGACTTAAAAAATATCATCCTTTCTGCAAAACCTAAATCCTGCTTCCTTGATGCACTTCCCACTTGGCTTCTAAAGAACTGCATCGATGTCCTTTTACCGAGTTAAGCTTGACCGCCATCTTACTTTTAGAACTCACATGAACAACATTTGTCGTCACGTTGTATTCATCACATAGGAAAACTTAGGAAATTTATTTTCAGATCTGCTACGGAACGTCTCATCCACGCATTTGTTTCATCCTTTACAGTCTACCCTCCCACGAGTTAGAGAAGCTACAAAGGTTGCAAAATACAACCACGAGGCTAACGTACTGTTACAGCAAAAAGTCGGCTCACATTACTCCAGTTTTAAAGAATTCACACTGTCTCCCGGTGAAAGAAATAATTATTTTTATATTATCCCGGTAACGTACAAAATCATCCATGGCATTGCCCAGCCTATTTAAATAAGGTTCTATTTAACTATACTTCAGACGTTTATTACAGTGACGCTCAAGTAGCTTAAACCTTCCTGCGGTCTATTTCAAAGACTAAAACGGTTACCTATGGCGACAGATCCTTCTCAGTCATTGCACCAAGGTTCTGGAATGACTTACCTGTTACAATCAAACAATCTTCCACAGTTGACTCTTTTAACCTCAGAGTGAAAACTTTTCCATTCAACAGTGTTTATAATTACTTGAGGTATATAACTTATTTTAAAAAGAACCTTATAAGAACCTTATTATTATTATTATTATTATTATTATTATTTTTGCAAGTGATACCGGTAAAGGTAATTTATAATTATTTTACACTATATAAAGATTTGAGTTTAAACCTTAAAATAATTTGATCAATAAGGGTTAGAATTTTCGTCTCTCTTCGGTGCCGCAAATTTAAACGACGAAGTCACGGTTCGAGGTTGTCCGTTATAGTGAGAAGTGATGACATTTGCTTTTGTTAAAAGTGACGAAATTGGCATCCTATTTAAACAGGTCTCCTTTTCGATTTTAACTTGCAATGTCGGTCAATTTGCGCAACTTTTAAACTTCTGGCTCAGTTTTTGTTTGCTTCTGCTTTAAAAATGGAATGATAATTACTCAGAGAAAATGCAGAGTAAAGAATTGTTGAAAAAAAAACAACAAAAACTTGCTAATTTAAGACAAAAAAGATACTTTAAAAAAGAACTAAAACATTCAAAACGCTTTGATCACGGGACTGATGACGTCATGTCCCTCGTTGGTCATGAAAAAAATTATCACTTAGAACATTACTTTCCTGCAAATTTTCTCTGGCGTTTCATAAAAACGTTGACTCTTTATAGCCCTCGGCCAAGTCTGCCGAGTTTTTTCCTTCATGTTCATTAGCCGCTTAAATTTTAAATGCCGGCAGGAGCCCATCAAACGGGCTCCTGAGGCCGGACGTCAACTGGTTATTTTTAAATGCCCCACACAACTAAAACCTTAAATATGATATTTGTTTTTAACTTGTTAATGAAATCTTGTCACAGCAACAAAAAAACGTAATCCGGCGATAGTCACGAGACTGATTACGTCATTACCTTAGTCCCGGTGACATGGGAAGATGTTTTATGGCAAATGTTATCTTGTTGTCTTCTACGTATAAAATTGTCAAAGTAATGCAGCTTTTTTAAAAAAATGCCTTAAAGGATTCTGCGAGATTTTTTGCAATAATTATAATTTACTTTTATAATTATTATCATTATAATTATTAACATTATTATTTCTGAGCGTTTTATAACTTTTCAGTGACATAGACACGCTTTGTTAGCGCTTTGAGTCTTGAAAACTAAGAAAACAAAAAGAAAACAAATAAGCGAGATAAGCAACCGGAGAACAGTTGCAACTTAACTTGATTAACTTGACTTGACTGATCGATTAACTTGACTTAAAACTTTATTTCAAGTTTAAGCGTCTATATTTGTAACGTAACTTCCACCTCTTGATTTCTAGACGAATGTGAAAAAGGGAAACATAACTGTCATGCTGATGCAGATTGCACCGATACCAAGCGTTCCTTCATGTGCACTTGCAAACCAGGATATTTTGGGGATGGTGTTAGCTGTACAGGTAACTGTTCTATCAGGGGGGAGTACGTAGAAATGGTCATAGTCACTTAATGCCACGGACAACGGAAAACAGCTGCAAATGTCACATTGCTACAATCGCTGACCGCGCTCCGGTCCGGTATGCGGACATCTCTACAGGAAAGTAGTACTCTGCCCAGATGATAATAATAATTATTAGAAACTGAATCATTAGATAATGCAATTATAGCGTTTTGGTTGGATTAGCCATCATGGTATGAGCCATTATACCATGCTCTCCATATATGCTTAGTGTACGCGTCAGTTCAAAATGGGAAGCCAGCTGAGATTTTTTTTCGTGAAGCATAGCATAACGACCGAAGAAAATCGTTTTAATTCTTTGAATACTAGAAAATGCCATATCCTTTTGGAAAAAAACAAACAAACAAACAAACAAAAAAGCCGCAAGAGTTTGCTTGAAAGTTTATCGAAAAACACGTGGAAACGTGACATGAGACTAAAATGCCTCGACCAACGAAAGAAGACAAGTTAAGTATTGTTTCTTCAAGATCGCGAAGCCATTGCCTGATAGATACAGCAGTCCAGGCATCAGTATAGCTTCTTCTCTCGTTCAGCCAAACCAGCTGGCGGCTTTAAACAACTTCATATAAGCTTTGCATGAGTTTCTGATCGAAGTTTAGTACATCTGATGAATCCACTGAAGGAGTTACTTCTCCTAGTAAAGATAGATCATAGATAATAAAATAATCAGATCGCAGGAGGCTGAAGGATGAATTGTTTTATTATTTACAATACAATAAAAGGTATAAATTAATGGCAAAAGACTAATTACAATTTTGTTAATTAGGAATAATGATAATGAAGAACTGAAAAAGAAAGGAAAAATAACATAGTAACACTTAATCTTACATTATAATAACATGTTTGGACGACAGCACATGGCTGATTTGAACGAATTTTTGCAGCGGTTCGTGCGAAAGTGGGGCCAGTCGTAAACTCTCCCCTGTCTGGTATTGTAGTAGCCTTGGTGGTTCGGAGAAAGCAGGCAAGCGAATTTGTGCTGATCCGAGGATATACTATTATAAACGTAACAGCTTAATTCACTGATCGTTACGCCTATCATATAAAGTGCTGAGACCAAAACTGACTTAACAGTGTTTGTATGATTTATCAGGCGCTATTATGGAGAGCGCTCTTTTTTGTACACGCTCACTTAGACAGTCGGGTAGGCTATGGTGGAAAATGGACGAGCGATATTCTAGAACGGGTTTCATTACTGTACAGTGAAAGTCAACAATATCTTTAAAGCTCAAGCTGAACCTAAAAAATACAAACGCTTATTTGCTTTCTTAATAGTTTCATTTAGTATTCACCAAATCAGTGGATACCAATTTTCGCGCGTTCTGATTGGCTCCCGTAACTAGGAATATCCTCGGATATTTACTGTTTCATTTGTTCATGATGGGATTATTCTGCTTCTCGTTTCGCGACAGCTTCGAAAGATGAAATTTTAGCGGTAAATGAGGCAGCTGCACCAACAAATACCAAGAAAGTGAAAAAATTTGGCTTGTCGGTGTTTACTGGTCACTAGAAAAGAATTTTCTTACTGAATTTGGAACAAAATCATAACAAATGATCCCCGAAACATTGTAAATTGAAACGTAAACAAACTCGAACTAAGTGATTTTTATCCGACTGATTTGGTAAATACTAAAACAACTATCCCACTCAGGGTCGGTTCATAGCGCTAGATATAAACTACATATATACCTCGACGTTTCGCGTCTAGGTATATCCCACCTGACTATTCTGATCACCTCCCCTTCGGGGGATAGTTGTATATTATATAAAAGTTCCACTTGAGATCGTTAATAATAATAATAATAATAATAATAATAATAACTTTTTTTAGTGAAAAAATTTTATTGACAACAATGCTAACTATTAAAATCCTATTTACAATTAATTCGCCTGAAAAGAAGAAAAAACTATTCATTCAAAACACTATTTACAATTCCTGTCGATTTAAAAAGCACTTAATTTAGCTTAGAAAGAGTTAATTTAACTAAGAAAAAATTTATTCGAATTAAGAACATTTCATTTCAATAAAAAAAAATTAACAAAGATCAGTATTGTGAGGAGAAGGTTTGTGCATGGAAAGAGGAAATAGAACGTCTCTCTGAAATAGCGAAGAGCCAGCCCCATGCGGCGTATATTGCTTAAACACAAGGCTACAAGTCGAAGTTCACCTACTTCATGCGCACGATTGAATCGTTTGAAGATTATGTCGATCCAATTCAGGAAGTGATTGAAGATTTACTACTTCCTACTTTGTTCGGTCAATCAGAGCCTCTCCCTAACGAGGTGCGCAGGCTTGCTACCTTAGCAACGGGTCAAGGGGGTCTAGGCATTCCTGATCTGAAATCCGAGGCACCGCAGCAGTTTGCTGCCTCGAGACTAATAACCACCGCCCACGTAGATTCTATTACATCACAGAGTTCCATCATGGTGCCAGGAGAAAGATCTACGGAGGAGCTAAAGAGGCATCAACAATCACTTAAGAGAGCAAGTGCCAAAGAGAAAATGGATAGCATTGATTCAAGCCTCTCCCCAGGCCTGCTGCGTCTGGTTAATCAATCGAGGGACAAGGGCGCAAGTTCTTGGCTGAATGCGATGCCTCTCGCAGACAAAGGTTTAGCCCTCAACAAGCAAGAGTTCAGAGACTCGCTACGCTTGCGTTATGACTTACCCTTAGTCGATTTACCAAGTCATTGCATATGTGGGGATAAATTCACCGTTAGTCACGCCCTCTCTTGTAAAAAGGGGGGGTTTGTAGCGCAGAGACATGATGGTGTACGGAACTTGTTAACGACATTCATCGACAAGATCTGCAATAATGTCGAAATCGAACCACGCCTTCAACCCCTGGACAACGAGCGATTTCATTTGAGGAGCGCTGTTACAAGTTCTGAGGCAAGGTTGGACATCAAAGCGGGAGGTTTCTGGGCAAGAGGAGTTACGGCATTTTTTGATGTTAGAGTTACGCACGTCAACTCCAAGTGTTACCAGAGCAAGCCAACATCGGAAGTGTTCAAAGAGCAAGAAGAAGAGAAGAAGCGCAAGTACCAGCAGCGGGTGTTAGATGTAGAAATGGGTTCGTTTACGCCTTTAGTGTTTGGAACCAATGGCGGAATGGGAAACGAGTGTCAGCGGTTCTTAAAGCATCTCGCAGACAAGATAGCTCAGAAAGACACCGAGCCTTATCACGTTGTAATCACTTGGCTCAGGACACAGATCTCGTTTGAACTCTTAAGATCGGTACATGCATGCGTCAGAGGTTCGCGAACGCCGTTTCGTAGCAAGCTAGAGCAATCATTAGACTGTAAAATAAATGTCGCTAGTGCGGATATCTGAAATAGGTGTCTATATGCTTTTATACTTAGGGCTTTTTATGGACACTGGTTTAGCCGTCATTAGTATAATTCGATTGCAGGATCTTAATATCTCTGCATAATGGAATTCTTAATTTTATAGAATTTTGAACTTTTATTATTAATTATATCTATTTCCTCTTCTTTTATGTAAGGTTAAGTTACTTCCATTTTTTAGAATTTGTAAATGAATAGTTTTTTCTATCTTCACTTATAATATATAGGATTGTTTTTGTTCTCTAATGAAGGACGAGGGGTTTCTTTTGTAACGGATTGAATTGTAGATAGTGTTTTTGATGAATTAATTAGATTTTTTGTAACAGCAGGTTGATTGTAAATAGGATTTTAATTGAGGTTTTGTAATAAATTAAAAACACGCATATTTAAAAAACAAATAGTAATAATAATAATAATAATAATAATAATAATAATAATAATAATAATAATAGGGACAGTACTTTCCTTAGTATCTTTCCCGTCCCCAACAATGCTGTTTACTGGATAACGTTCGAGAATCGGCGTGAACATGAGGTTGGAAGTTATCCAGAAAACAGCATTGTTGGGGACACCAAAGATACTAAGGAAAGTACTGTCCCTGTAATAAGAAGGAAACGAGAGACCTGGGACCAGTGGTGACTTGTTGTAACTTGCTCCCAAAGACTATAAACCAGGCCGAACATCCTGCCTGAGTCTACAAGGAATGAACATAATAATGATGATAATAATAATAATAATAATAATAATAATAATAATAATAATAATAATAATAATAATAATAATAATAATAATGATAAAACTTATATAGCGCCGATATCAATATTGCTATTTTCATAAGCGCTTAAAAATTAAAAAAATATTTCACAGAAAAAAATTACTAGGGCTGCTTAAAGTATACAAAGTGCATGAACCTACCAAAAAGAGTTAAAACAATTATGTCAACACTAAAATTATAAAATTACCTAGACTATTTGAATGGTAAAACTGCATAAAACCTACTAAAAACGAGATAAAAAAGCACATAAAATTACCAAAAAAGCTTTCTGAAATAAAAATGTAATTTGGAAAAGATGCTACTGAGGGGCTACTCCTAATCGCATAGGGCCATGAATTCCATAGTTCAGGAGCAGCAGCAGCAAAAGATCGATCTCCTAACGTTGATAAAGTCTTGATTTCACAGTAGCAGTGCATCACAATCGGAGAGTAAATTGTATTTACATGCTTCTTTAAGATTAATAAGTTCCTGGAGTTAAAAAGGTGCTAAGCCACTGATAGCCTTTTACGTTAACACTAGTATCTTAAAGTCAATTTTGAATTTAACCAGCATTATATATACAGCAACGGTCTTACCTGGCAGTATTTAGATTCCTGGAAAATTAACCTAGCGGCAGCATCCTGGACCCTCTATAGCTTATTAAGCTGGTAGGGTGGCAAGCCATAGAGCAGGCTGTTACAATAGTCGACGCGACAGTGTTATACCTAAAAGTTTGGCACTATTATAACAGCTAGTTCCTTCTCGTCGACCACAACAGGGCTGAAGACGTGTTTGTTATTTTAAAGTCGATGATCATCTCCTTGCTTTGTCAGCGTTTAGTTTCGTGCAAAGTCCTGTGCAAGTTTAGATATTACCGAGGTTAGGGAGATCGGACAAAGATTTTTGTTAATGTCGATAACAGGTTTTAGCTTGGGGACAGGCACCATCTTCCAGGATGATGGGCGTCTCTGCTCCTCGAAACTGCTGTTTTGCACAGCTGTAACTGGGCAAGCGAGGATGCCTGTGTACGCCTTCACTATACTACCCCATCTAGTCCTGCCGCCTTCATTTTAAAGGGGATAAAAAGGCGGGTTCGGATAGGGTCAGCGGTGACAAATCCTTACTGTGTGACGGGAGGAATTCGGTCCTTTGGAAGGACTCCATAGGTTGTAGGAATCCTGAGTTGATTTGGCTGGCAATCTCTTGGTCAGACAGAAGAGCGGAACCTCGATCTATAAGTTGGCAAACAAAGGGTCTGAGCCAGGAGCGAGAGCCATGTCAGCGATCCACTTGACCGTACTCCACCACTAGCTAGGCTCGGTTTGCTTTAGGTGGTTCACGTTTGAAGCGTAGTAGTTGCTACGGAGAGCTATCCCTCTGTCTAAAGGAATGGGGCCAAAATGAAAAATCCGGCCGAATTTTTTGCGTTCGCTACCAGTTTACTTTGCAAAATCCTGCCAGCAAACCCCTATAACGTGTACTAACCAGGCTTTTATACTTTTTACATACTATATCACTTGTAAAAGTAAACAGTAGTTTTAGACGCCGAATTTATTCAGACCATACTCGGTAATTATTGAGAGTTTCAAGAAACGGCAATTTGAGAGAAACAATCAACTTGTTAATTGACAAAGCTATTCTAAAGAATTGCAAGAAAAGGCACATTTTGGCGTTGGCTTTGAGTGTTTACCGGATAGTATATGACATGATACCACGTAGCTGGATTGTCAATGGTATGCAGAGTTATCATCATCAGGCCAGAGGTTGGAAGTCATTATAATTAGAAGGAGAGGCATTTTCCAGACGGCTTTTTGTTTTTTGCACGATTCCATTCACATTGGTGTTGAGAAAATCAACAGCAGGTTATGATCTTGCGGAGAATTTAAGATTAACCATCTCCTTTTTTTGTGAACGACTTAAAATTGTTTCGGAAAAGTAGAGATCAAATAGGTTCGTTGGTGCAAACTGTACAGTTGCTTAGTAAGGACATTAGATTGGAGTTTGGATTGAAAAAGTGTAGTGTGTTGAGTAGTGATAGAGGGATGAAATTAAGCCTCGTTGGTGTCGAGTAAGTGTCGAGTAAGGTCCAGATAAATCATTGATATGCATAAGATTCGAGTCCATGACGTCACCCATTGTTTTAACCTAGGGAAAAAGTGGGTTCCTCCATACTGATAAGTGCCCTCCTCCATATCTAATGAGCGTCTCTCTTATACAATAGGAACAATAGCCTTGCCTAGAATTGTCCGGTAAGTAACTTGAGCCCGGTTTGTCGGAACGGCCTATCAAAAGAATAGGAACAAGAGAAGCGATCACCTAGCAACACGAGAAACGGCTTATATTTTCTATTACAATTTAAGCGCTTAAATTCGGATATACAAACAAAACACACACACAGAAAGTGGGGCTGAGAACTCTTTATTTCAATTTCGACTGACTGCTACAAAACCGTTAGGTCTCAGCGCTTGTGCTCTTGATACCCTGCTTGGTTAAAGCCTTATTCACTGGACAGGAGGTTTGTTCGCAGTGGGCAATTATCTTGGGCAGTAGTTTTTAGATTAATCAGCAGATAATCAAAAGGTCTTTTTATACAGCCTCCTTGTACTGATTTAAAAGGAAATCAGTTTTCCCGGGATACATTTGCTTTGCCAGAGTCAAGATTTGCAATTTGTCTCGTGGATTCTTGAATAGCACCAAATAAGTCATCTGATCGTCAAACTTCAACTTCAACTTCAACTTTATTTAAATTTGAAAATATAGCAAAAGATACATTGGGACTGGCCTGCAGTTAGCGAGGCTATTCGAGGCAGGCCAGGCTACATAATTTACAACAAACTAGACAAATACAAAGAAATTAGGCGTTGTATAAGTATATACATTTTACATTAAATAGATACGTTCTACTTAAATGCAAGGAATATAATATTAAAGTGAAATTTTAAAAATAAAATAAAATGAAAATAAAGGACAAGAGAATTACTTTTCCATTTTCACGATGATCGTATCCACATCAATATAGGAGTCTTCAGTTTCAAGGAAATCGAGTAGCATTTCTTTTAGTGATCTTTTAAAAGCTTTTTTCGGTCTTTCTTTAAGAATTTGAGGTATCCCGTTCCAAATTTTGACCCTAACACGCGAAAAAGCATTTCGTTTGACATTGAGTCGAGATTCTTTAGTATAAAAATGTTCAGAGGTTGAGGTACGTGTGTTGTAACTATGAACACTAGAAATTCGAGAGAAGAGTTTCGAAATATTAACCGGAGCGGTGTTTTTATTTACATCATACATAAGACTACAAACGGATTCATAATATAGAGACTGTAAAGGTAGAATTTTTGCCTTGACAAAAAAAGGTATTGCGTGGTCGTTTGTTTCAGCAAAATATATTAAACAGTGCGCGTTTTTGAAGGACAAGAATTTGGTCAAGGAAAGTTTTACAGTTCAAAAGCATCTAGCGATTTCTGGATGCGGTCGCAGGTCTCAGATATCTTATCGAGTCTTGCCCTAATTTCTTCAAGCTCTTTACTGGCACTTACTTTGAAAGCAATTAAATCATCATACTGGTCCGAAACAAACTCCACTGATTTGGTTTTGTCTGGTGACAACACTTCGACGCCATTACCGACATTTAGATTGCATTCTTCAGTTCGTTCACTTAACTCTTTCAAAACCTTTTCTAGCTTCACTTTAAGCTCCGCTACTTCGTCCTTGAGTTCTTTGTTTGCTTTTCTCAATTTTGTTCACTATTTGTCATGATATTAGAGAGAGTTACCGCTCGCAACTCGCTCGACGTTGTACCACGTTCGATCACATTCTGTTTGTTCACATCAAAATAGGAATCCTGCTCCAAAGCCGTAGGAATTCCCTTGATAAATTCAATGTGTAGCATGGCGACTAGCATTTCTGTAGACGCAGGCTGCAATTGTGAATAACACCAAACGATCCTCTCTGGGGGAAGGTAAATTGCCTCTGAAGCTTGATGTAATAGAGATAGAACCCAGGCTGCTTTTCCGGACTTGGTCATTCCAGCAGTCATGGAGGTGAAAGGATGTTCAAAGCGAAACCGCTGACATTTCATTGAAGACATCGGAACTGTTTGAAATGGGGTGAGACCAGCATTGCAGTGTTTAGACATCGCGTGCCTTTGCATGCCATCCTATCTACTAAACGATTTTTCGCAAACGGAACACAACCAACTCATGTCAACTCCTCAGGAGCAGAATGTAGACTGA